ACGCGGAGCCTGCTTGGGATTCTCTCTCCCTCCCTCTCTGCCCATCCACTGCCTCAATAAACACATAAATAAGCAAACAAGCAAACAAACTTAAAAAAAAAAAAAGTGTGAGGTCTGAACTGAGACCTGCTCCAGATTCCATCCGGTTTCATTTCTACCCAAGTAAATCCTTTGAGCCTCAATTTCCTCACCTGTAAGATGGGAATAAGAGCATCATACTCTACAGAGTTGGTGTCCTCAAAAGGCAGAGCACGGGTACCAAGGGGGCACCCAAGCGCTTCCTTTGGGGGAACCCCACAGACTTCAAATGGTCTCTTTCAGGGGTTCATCAGGGATTCATCAGGGATCCTGCCCCATTTCCCATCCTTAACTCTAGCAACTGTTTCAGGTAGTTCCAGCCCGTGACTAGTCACCTCCGAGCTACAAGTCACTGGTTAATATTTCAAACCCTATGAACAACCATTCTGACTTCTGCAGAACTCAATAGTTCAGAGGTAACAGTCACTTAATTCAGTGTCTAGAATGAGATGGAAAGCCAGCATTCCTCTGTGAAACAGAATTTTCTCCAAGAAGCCAAGGGTGAACACTCAAAATAAAAATTCCCCTCTCGGTTATTAATGAGGGTCAGTGAGCAAGAGTCAGCAGCTCGGCTAACGGTGCTTGAAGCACATTTGGTATCGTTTGTGCGGCACTCTCTCTCCGCCTTGTTTTTGCGTTTTCTCTTCCCCCCCTGTGGCAAGTATTATAAATAGGCCTCCTTCCTATCTGATCCGCCCCTAAATGTTTTTCATTTGAAAACCACAGTTAATTTTAGATAATTGTCAAAGATAATCTCAAATTTGTGTGCCATCTAGACCCTAGTTCTAAGAAAAACATGTTTCTGGAAGACCTGGTCTGGGTCCCTCTTCCTCTGGAGGAACATCTCTGAAAGCCAACATCTCTGACTGGCTTCCGGCGCTTGATAGAGACAGGCCGTACCATGAGCCTGCTGGGTCCCTGTTCTAGAGGCAGAGACTGCCTTCCTGGTACTTCCCCTGTGTGACTTTGAGGCTGAAGCGGGGGTTCTGGGGGGAGCAAGGAGTGGGCCCAACGACACTGCCCCCCGGGATCAGCTTTGCAGCGATGGTGACCCTCACCTCCACCGGGCCGGGCCCCTCGCCATCGGCATACAGATAACCCTGCAGCTGACATGTGTAAAGGCTGCTTGCTGCACGACTCTGCTCGTTTTTCAGAGCCTGGGCCACATTTGTCCTGGCCCGAGTTAAGAGGCAAAGAACATTCCAGTTGTGAGCCTGGATGGAAAAAATATATTTGAAGTTTTTTTTTTTTTTTTTCTGCTAACAAGGTATGCACAGGACTCAAATGCCAGTAAACGAAGGTTAAAGACGGGCTGGTGTGCAGAATACAGTTGCCTGCCCCCCTCTTTAATTTTTCCATAAAGCGCCAGAAAAAAAGCCACTACACTAACAAACGTTTTGGGAAGGGAACAGGCCCCAGGCCCAGAAGCCACAAGCTTAAATGGGGGAAATATGAACCCTCAGGCACAGTCTCCTGAGCAGAGTCATTAGTCAGGAAAGGATCGGGCAGGAACAGCTGTACCCGAACCAAATCTACGGCCGCCCTGGGTCCCCAGGGCCACGCGGGTCAAGACAGAGCGACACCCTCATGTTCATCCTATAACTTAAGGGGTGCAAAGGGCACACTCCCCCACAACTCAGGTTCGGCACCCGACAAGCACACGCGTCTTGCTTCGTTTAGAGAACGGAAAGCGAACCCAACACAACGACAACCAAGAGTCCAGCTGCACATATTTATTGTTTTAATTTACCGTTGTGAAACACGGAGATGCTACGTGAAAATGGATGCAGAAGAATAAAGTTCCCCAGAGAGCGAGGTCAAGCGTGAAAAAGAAGAATATGGAGGAGGGGCTAGCCCTCCAAAATATTGACATACTACAAAACCATAATAATAAAATCAGTATGGTACTGGCTCAAGAACAGAGACAGATGAATAGAGCAGGCCTATTTATAAACGAGCACTTGAAATACGATTAACATAGCTTATAAATCATGGGCAACGGTTAGATTATTTAGTAGATGCCATTGAAAAACTCACCATATGGAAAACAATAAGATTTGTATCCCTCTATTATACAAAGTTGGATTCCAAATGAATGAGAGATAATACGGGTAGCAAAATTATAAGGTTCAGAGAAGAAAATTGAGAAGACTATTTTTGTGGTTTAGAGGTGGAGAACTTTCTGGACAAGAACGAAACTCATAAACCGTAAGGGGGGGGGAAGATGGTTTTGATTGTTCCAAAATTGAACATTAGTTTTTAATAAAGAGTAGCAAAGATGAAGTTTAGAAAAAAATAGAAATAGGAACACAATATTTGCAATGTCCGAAACTGAGTACCAACCAATCCAGGGTATGTGAGGGACCCGTATAAGTTGACCAGAAAAGGATTATAAAATCCAGTAGAAAAGGATTTGATAGATACCTCAGAGAGGCAGAACTCCAAATGGCTCACATGATATGAAAAATTATTCAAACCCACTGGTCGTCAAATCTCGTGAGGTATAAGCTTTAGACCCATCAGACTGGCAAGTGTGGGTCTGAGACGTGATGATGATTCCTCATCATCATTGCCCTGGGGAATATAGTGAAGTCATCCTAAAGAATAATCTCACAAAATGGTGTACATTAGAATCAAGGGTTCCACTTCCAGAATATTCCACAGAATCCTCACTTGGGTCCATGAGAGAGAATATGAACGTTTATCATAGAGTTGAGACCTGAGGATGTGGGGACAGAGAGGCAACCAAGAGGTCCACAGGTGAGGAAATGGGAAAGTGAAATGCCATGGGATCTATTATGGAATACTTTGTATGTAGCAATCAGAAGAAACTAGCAGAATTAAATTACTAATCAGCAGTATGTAAAGCTCTTAAAAATGCAGTGCTGGGGTGAAATATAAGGGAAGCAACCCATCAGGACTGTTGAAAGGATCGAATGGCAATACAACACACAACATGGGGACTGACCCAAAGGAGGGATCTGATTCTATCAACAGGTAGGTGGAACACCAGAAGGGTCTATCCAGCCCAACAAAAGATCCAGGACTGTAGGACAGGGGGTGGTATAGGAAACTATTCACAATTGAATTGCTGGACTGTCTGCCATTTAATGTTCCTTTTTGTGTCCTTTCTCGCTTACTTGGTGGCCGGATCAGAGCTTCTACGAGAACAAAAGCTCTGAACACAGAGAAGAACATCATCGGTAGACGGTTACCCGTCTTGATGTTAGTGGGCAGATTCTAGTGTTGCCCCAGCCAGGTGCCAGTTGGCCAAAGTCAACTCTTATCTATTTATTTCTGTGGGTTCCTAATTCACCGTGGCCTCTCTTGACCTTCCATAGGCAGCCTGTGTTTCATGGTCATGGACGGAATTTCACTGCTGTATGCTTCACAGAGTATACTGAGTAAATTTCATGTAAGATATGAAACGTTCTCTCTTCCTCTATACCATGCAAATACCGTAAGGCATTTGCAGTTTAGGGAGTGGACTTACTGTCCACTCCCTAAACATCAGTAACCAACAGCCGTGGAAGTGAAGAAGGAAATGGATGAGCTCGTTTGATACTCTTGCTCTGGGAAGCTTGAGAGAAGAGATTCCATTCTGCGAGCAGGAGGCCAGGGAGTTCTTTCTGAGTGAGGATACAGCAGGTTATTTACACTGTATTTGTGATTAGGGGTCATAGAGAGGGGCAAGGACCTGAATTCCAAGAATGGAACAGAATCCAGCTCTCTAAGGAAGTTCAGGGTTTGGAAAACTCCCAGGGAGCAATAACTCAACTGAACTAACCTGATGAACTGTTTTTAAATCAGTTTGAGAAATATAGTCAAACATTGAACAGCTTCCTAGAACTGAAGCAAACGGGCAAAGGTAAGCTTTTATTAGACCTTAGCGGTACGCCCAGAGTGCTGGGCAGAGTGGAAGGCTCAGCTCTATCTGGAAGGGGGAGAGGAAGACTTGCTTTTATTCTCCCCATGAGGAGATTCTCTAGAGCAAGGCATGTTTTCCACCTCCTGGCAATCAGTGATTTGCAGCTAAAATGCTGAACAAATGAAGTTAACTCAATATACTGAAGACCTACTGTGTGCCTGTTGGTATGTGGGGGCTTGTCCCTATCTCATCTCATGAATCCCTTCCCACCATCCTTCAGGGAAGAGATCGTCATTCCCCGTTTTTCACAAGATGAAAGGCAGTCTCTGGGAGGTTAGAGAAGTTCTCACGGTCGCATGGCTTTTAAAAAGATGTGGATTCAAACCTAGACAGCTGATTCCAGATGGGAACTTTCTTCAGCCCAGACTTATACTTCTAAAAGATATCAGGTATCCTGAGATGATCCCATAAAGGACCCCATGATATCAGGTTTGAGGGATAAATTGTCCTCTCGCCATCCATTTTCAAGCAAGTATGCTAGAGGGGAAGTTGTGTCCGGGGGAAGAAGGAATGGTAATGATAGTGACAGTAAGCTCTTGTTGAGTTCCTACTATGTACTGTGACAAATGGTCTGCATGACCTACGAGCCCCTGAACTGGTTACAGCACTGTCTCTATTTTTCTATTTGGGAAACTCAATTTCAAAATTTAATTTTTTAAAAAGTTTATTTATTTTGTGTGTGTGTGTGTGAGAGAGAGAGAGAGAGAGAGAGAGAGAGAGGGAGAGAGAGAGAGCTCCCAGGGAAGGGGCACAGAGAGAGGGAGAGAGAGAATCCCAAGCAGGCTCCACACGGTCGGCACTGAGCCCAGGGCAGAGCCTGAATCCATAAACTGGGAGCTCGTGACCTGAACCGAAATCAAGAGCTGGACACTGAAGTGACCGAGCCACCCGGCACCCCTCAGAGTCTACTTCCTTGTTCAAATTCAGCTAGCTAGCGCTTCACGGAGTAGATCCTGAATGTGACGCTCAAACCAGTGTTTTTAAAACACCGCGCGCAGCTGTTTTCCTGGGATATGACGGGGTGCAGCAGTGGTAGCAATGGCAGTGAACGTGGTGGCATCAGGGTGGCCTAAGCGGGGATGTTGTTGCTGTTTCTGGTGGTCGTGGGAGGGGTGCGATGATGTGAACGGTGGCGGCAGGGTGGCTGAGGGTGGGACGGTGGTGACAACGGAGGTGGCGGTGGAGCGGGTGTTGGGGGGATGGAGGTGATGATGGTGGAGGTGCCGGTGACGGGAATGGCAGTCCTGACTGTGGCGGGTGGGGTTCAGAGTGTTAGCGACGGCGGCAGCCGTGAGGATATTGGTGGGGGTTGTTAATTTCTGCGGCCTCCTCTGGAGAGTTTCTGAGCAAAAGCGTCTTCTCTTTTCTCTGTGCCCGGAAGAGTTGAGTCACTTTTTCTTCGTAGGTTGGCTTTTCATCCCCCTGCCTCTATTCACTTCCACGCTATTGACAAGATCTGTGGTTGTCCAGGAGCCGCTGGGGAGAGACAGACCCCGTGACCGTTTCCCCGAAGGCGGCCTTTGGCCGCTCCGTGCGGGAGCACATGACCCCCTGCCTCGCCCCTGGCACATTAACCAGGTGACTGCCTGCCAGGGCCCGGCCCAGTCCAAAGGGATTTGGGATTCAGTGTCCCAAACAAGGCACTGATTAGCTGGTAATCAGGCAGCGATTAGCAGATCGGGTCACCCGCAGTTCAGTGCCCATTGTTCCCTGCAAAGTCCCGGGATGTTTGCCACGCGGCCAGAGAGTCTGAATGTCTGAGGATCCCAACGCCTGCAGGTCTGCTGTGCGAGAGCTGTGATTAGGGAAAAATCCTCTGTTCCCCTAAGCCCATCCCCGCCGAGGAGGCAGGCGCTGTGAATCCCCTCTGCCGATTCACACAAAAGGCTCTGGGGGAAAGAATGGCCTGCTTAAGAGCCCAGCGGTGACAGGGAGGTGAGGCCCCAAGGGTACCCTGAAGAACTAGAAGCAAATGAGCACATTCCTCTTCATGCACAGTGTTGAGAGAGCGCGCACAGTGGAGTCGGGTACGACTCGGTCCAGGCTGGGATTCTGCTCCGGTCTTGACGCGTGACCGTGGACAAGATATTTAACCTTGAGATTTGGTTACCTCGGATTTTAAGATGATTAAGAAGAATACTTGTCTCTTAGGGTTGTTGGAGGGGTAGGTTTGAAAAATGAACGTAAACCAGCTAATACAGTCTCCAGAATAGAGCAAGCGCCCAGTAAATGTTGTCACGGGTACCGTCGGTCAGAGGAGAAACATCATCATTATGTAAAGTACTTTATTTAAAAAAAAAAAAATGCCCAGTAACATCACCTCTAAGATGAGGCCAGCGCCTCCTGTGCGGGCCTTCATAAAGATGAGGTGGGGACATTCTTAGAAAGCATTCCACCCAGGGCCTAGTACATTATTAGCACTCAAAAAGTGACAGAACAGCGAGGCTAATCATCATTATCATTTTCTTAAAGGGAAACGTAAAAGGATTTGTGCAGCATACCTCACGACGTTGCAGTACATTCTCATGAAAAGTCAGAGCGTGATTTTGAACTAAGAGGGGATCAACGAAATGATTCGTGGAGCATTCGTGTCAGTGGGTCCCACACAGGTCTGTGATCACTGGGTCCTCGAATCATCTGGAGATCTTAGTAGAACGCGGCTTCTGATTTTGTTAAGTCTGGGGGGAGGCCCAAGGCTTTGCGTTTCTAGTGAATTCCCAGGTGATTCCAGGGTTGCGGTCCATGGGCCCCACTTTGAATAAACAGGATATGCGTTTTTGTGATGAAGAAGTATGCAAACGTGTACTTCTATACAGAAAACCTTCCTAGGCTGTCCTCAAGTGCCGGCATCTGTAAGTGAGGGACTGCAAATCCTTTCTCCCCCCTCCCCCCCTTCACTCAAATGTTCTATCTTTCTCAAAAATTTAATCATGAACATGTAAAGAAAACATTAAAAAATGCGATACATTTTATCAATATAAAAAGATCTCCCCTTTCCTTAAATCTTGTCCCACGGCCACATTTTCCAGCACATTCCTTGCCAGGTCTCTGTGCCTGATGCTCCGATTTTCTCCTACAGCCACACTAGGCCTTCTCAGCGGGTGAACCGCAAAGAAATCACATTATTAACACACACGCATTCCGTAGGCTTCGACTCTCTGAGGCTAAGGTGGGTTCCAGCTCCGATACAGCGGCTGGCCAGGGTTCGAGGCCCGGAGGCATGCAAGCCAGCCAGGTGCAAGATGGACAGCTATTCACTCAGAGGAACCCAGAGAGTTCTGAAGGCTGATTCTGGCTGCACGCGGAGAAGGCATCCCAACCAACATGGTGGGGTGTCTTCAGGAACTGGAAAGAGCTCAACAAAGTCCATCCTACCACAATGACAGATTCACTGGCCCCCCCTCTAAGGACTGGGATGAGGGAAAGATCTCCAGGATCTAAGGGTGGGTGGGACTAAGATCTTTTCTTCCTTTTGAGAACTCTCCCGTTACCCCCACGTCCCCCACCCCGCCAGCAAAGAAGAGAAAAATTGGGTATGGGAGCCCAATATCTCCTCCTTAACAGACTGTTACGGTCTCGGAGAGGTTGCCAGGGTCTGAATGAGCACAGGGAACCCGGGTTGAATTCTAACCTTACGGTTTAATACCTAAACGGCCTTAACTGGATCCATGGCTCCGTTTTGGCCCATGGGCAATGGGAACAGCAGCGCAATAATATCTTTAAGGTTAGTAATTCTGTAGCTAAGAGATCCTAGCCGCTGGTCGGGCACAAAGCAGGTTCGCTTATGCCCATGCTAATAAATGTTATGCTTTGTATTCAGGATTCGCTGCCCTTGTCACCATAGCATACACCTGTGCCTATCTGGAAGAACCCCCAGCCACCAGGAAGTCCCTTTGACTGGCCACCCCCCTCCCCCATCACCGTATCCGTTCATAGGTCAGTCAGACGTCGGGGAGAAACAGATGGCGTTCTCAGACTGGGTAATAGGAGGAGAGTTTAGTCAAGGACTTTTCACAGGGGTGAGGACAGGGTTTAGGAAGTCCGTAAAGGAAAACATAAGGCCCCGGGGCTAGCAACACCCAGCTCTCCTCACGGCTTGAAAGGCCAAGGGGAAGAAGCAATACAAGAGCCCAGAGAGGGGAGCTGTGTGGAGAATATCGCCCGACAGGGGCAGGGGCTCTGGTCTTTATTGGGGGGGAGGGGGCAGCCAACTCACCAAGGACGGGGACACTAGGCAATAAACCCAGACCCCTCTCTTCCTACCTTCCTAAGCCTGCTTATGCTCTTACCTTGGTGCACTTTTTCCTCTGATCGCTTTCCCCTGAATCCTTTCTGACCCTACTGGGTGGCTATTTTATGGGCTCAGTTACACGCTCGAGAGGTGAAAATGACTTTTCCAAAGGGGCCACCATGGCGACAGCAATGCAAGATGTACAACCCAGAGACAGAACATGTGGAAAGTGAGATCTATCTTAAAACGGATCTGCAAACCACCATTCTGGGACCCTCCATCCTGGATATCCAGTCTCACTGGTGAGCTAACCATGAAACTCACTGAAAGATTTCCAGAAGCAGACAACTCCTAGAAGAAGAAAGATTCTTCCCAAGTTTTGATGGAACAAGATGATGGCTCCATTCTGTGGAACCCAAAGGGAAATCAGATGGCAGGAGAAGCCATTGCTGTCGCTTTCCAGCAGGTTGAGGGAGGAGTTGTCCCCAGAAGTGTTTGGAAGGAGGACAGTGATCTGGAGGGGCCCCTGGAACACTGTAGCAACTCTGTTGATACAAATCTGACCCTCACTTCATAAAAGCTTCTAGACAACCCACCCTATCACATCCCTCCTTGGAGCTCACACATTCTTTTCGTGTCTGACATTCATTAGTTTGTATCAATTCTCTATATGAATAAATCACTTCCTGAGTAAATGGTTAAATCCTTGAGGGCGGGAAGGTGCTATACTATAATGATAACACCCTGTGCTTTAGGACTTGTGAAGGTTTAGGGGGTGCCTGGCCGGCTCAGTTGGTGGAGCATGTGACTCTCCACCTTGGGGTTATGAGTTCGAGCCCCATGGTGGGTGTAGAGAGTACTTAAAATTTTTTAAATCTTTTTTTAATGTCTATTTATTTTTGAGAGATAGAGGCAGAGCACAAGTGGGGGAGGGGCAGAGAGAGAGGGAAGCACAGTATCTGAAGCAGGCTCCAGGTTCCTGAGCTGTCAGCACAGAGCCCAATGTGGGACTTGAACCCATGACCCATGAGATCATGACATGAGCCGAAGTCAGATGCTTAACTGACTGAGCCACACAGGTGCCCCAGAAAAAATTTAAAAACCTTCAAAAAAATTCCTGAAGGTTTAGAAAGATAATATATACAACATCTTTAGCATGTAACTAACTGGCCACACACAGAAAGTGATGGATAGATAGATTTATGATTATTAACTATTCTTCTATTCTTTATATGCCTCACCATGCTGAAAATACACCCTCATCTCTCTCTCTCTCTCACTCTCTTTTTCTCTCTCTCTCTCTCTTTCACACACACACACACACACACACACACACACACACACAAGCACAAAAGAAACTCCGCTTTCTTCTGCACCTTCTGTGGGCCATTTATTATGTAGAACTTCCCATACATTATCACAGTATTTCTCCAACTTTCTTACACATGGAAAGTACATTAAGGTATGGGGGAAAAAAAACATGACACATTCTTTTATGTATGACACTATGGAAGACTAAATTTCGTTTATTTAGAAAACACAATTCTGTTTAACCTCCTAACGCGCATTGCTCCTACGACACGATAACACAAATCAAATTAATAATTTAAATGCAAACAAAGCTACAACATATTTAAAATTCAGGCTAACAGTTTGAATTAAATGTGACAGATTACACAGTTCTGGCAAGACTGGCTCAAAACTTGCTGTGTAAAAATGTTACGGGAGGCTGGAGTATAGGTACATGTTCAGCTTGCCCTGCCTGCAGAGGGTGATGGGTGAAATACGTTATCACTGCTCCCCATTTCTACTGGGAGATGGGAAGGAGCTTGCATTAATTTTGTAGCAAAGCATGATTTTGAATTTATTTCCCTTTTTTTTTCTCTTCTCATTTGTGGAGTCCATGAAATTAGTATTATACATGCCACCTGGTTTGCAATCATTGGCTTAAAACATAGTGGCATTGCTTAACTATAAAAGACTATCCAGGTAACCCAGAAGATGCTTTATCAATTTTACTTTAGAATGAGAACACAAGAGTCAAATATCTGGGCAGAGAAGAGGCGCCTGGGTGGCTCAGTTGGTTAAGCGTCTGACTCTTGATTTCGACTCTGGTCGTGATCTCATGGTTCATGCTCTGAGTCGGGCTCTGCACTGATGGTATGGAGCCTGCTTGGGATTCTCTCTCTCTCTCTCTCTCTCTCTCTCTCTCTCTGTTCTTCTCCCACCTCACTCTTCCCTCTCCTTCTCAAAATAAATAAATAAACATTAAAAAAATTGGGCAGAGAAGATGGCTTTAATGCCCTACCACTGTTACATGGCGCATGGCATAGGGACCTTTAATCTCAACAGCTTGGGTTTCTATTTTCTGTATGAGGACATTGAGGCTCGGGGGGGGGGGGTTCAGTCACCTGCCTAGGTTCATACACCTAGTACGTGGTGTAGTGAGACTCAGATCCAAGCCTCTATGTCTCCACATCCAGTCGGTTTTGTTTGGTTTTGGTTTGGTTTTTAATAAACTCTACCCCCAATGTGGGGCTCGAACTCATGACCCTGAGATCAAGAGTCACAGGCTCTACTGACTGAGCCAGACAGGTGTCCCTCCACATCCCGTCTTTTGATTACATTGAACTATCCTTTCGGTGTTATTGAGTGGCTAATGCTATACTGATACATATTGGTGGTGAGGGATTGGGGAGGGAAGTGTTGAGGAAGAGATAGAAAATGAGAAGGGATGCCTGGTCAGAGATGGTGACGTAAACCCAGTCCACTGTGGTCTTGCAGTGGTGGTTAGATCCAGAGCAATGGGGAGTTCGAACCATCTGGAAGCCGGGTAGCCATACAGATGAGGCTGTCCTCTGCACACTTCAGGTAGGGCTACTCCTGCCATCTCCACATCTGGCTTAGCAACAATCAGTCCATGAAGAATTGAGATGCATGAAAGGAAAGTTCCAGGTTGTCCCTAATCATATGATTGATGATCCTCTTTCCAGGTATCTGCTGCTTCCTGCCTTGAGTCGGCTGCTGGATGTCCTTTCCCAGAAATGTTCGTGTCGATCCTTTTGGGTCTTCACAGAGTTATGGGAATGGCAACCCTCAAGACCATCCACGTTCTGTTGGGAGAGCACAAATCTGGGGCCCTCTGCCTCCAGGAATGGAGAGGGGCCCTGGAAGAAGTGCTGTCGATGGGTGTTCTCATTGGGAAAGCCATAGGAAGGTACTGCTCATCCTTCAAACTCCAAGTGTCCAGAATTTAGGGAATGGATACATTCAGGTAACTAACAGGCAGATGTGATAAACTCTCCAACAGGTTAATGATGCTCAATACAATTTTTCTGCGGCTCACAATCCTGACAATACGGATGGTCTGCTACTATAATTCTACTTTCCCTATAGAAAAGTTAATGTTCTGTTATTTTGGGATGTCAAATTGAGTCATGTGAAGTTTCAGAAATCACACACACACACACACACACACACACACACACACACACACACCCCAGGTAAAGCCATAACAAAAGTCCCTTTTGCCTTTCATATATTTTGAGGACAATGAAACCATTCAATCAGTGCCCAAAATGATAATTATCTTTTTGGACACATGACCTCATATTCCCAATCTATTAAGCACACAAAATCTGAAAATGAGTGGTATTAGTGATTCCACTGAAATGGATACAAGGGAATTGAAATAAAATAAAGCCTGCCTTAGTTTTGTAATCCCCAAAGGAATAGGTACTGAGAGGATGGCTGACTTAGGACCCTTAGAAGAAAAGAAGAACACAGAAAACTAAAATAGTGGATGCATGTGGTTTTTTACTTGCTAGATGCCTGAACTTCATTGCTTCAGGTCACCTCAATTTGGGGTGGAGGTGGGGGTGAAATGTTGACTCAGGTGTGGGTAGCAATTATGATGGCCTATGACCAAATTCCATGTTAAAGTGATTGGTTCCCCAACCTCCCCACAGTGTTTATTGCTGTTGTTGTCAAGATCCTGGAGAGCCATTAACATTCTGCTAGCGGAGCCAATCCACAGACTGGTTACCTACATCAGAAACAACTCCTGCAGTCCAGACTCCATTCTAGGGGCAACCTCATCTTGAATTTCAGAACCCTCTTTGTCTAGAAACGTGGGTGCCAGTTGCACCCAGCTGGGGTGTGTTAGAAGATGTGTTGCTCTCACAAACGATTCACTGATACGGACCCATCAGTGATCCAGGAGAGAGGACAGGCATCTGGCATCTCTCCAGTGTAGGGTCAGCACTCCCCCCAGTCTTTCTGGGACACTTCCCGCACAGAAAAGGAGCTGTCACCTGTTTGAATCTTAATTTCGTATTGCACCATCCATAGTTCCCAAAGTCATTGCTGTTAGTTCTCCTAGAAGTCCTAGAAGTCGGTTCTCAGGCAAATGGAAACCTTGGGCGGGCCCCAGAAGTTCTAAGGTGGGAATGCTGATCAAGTGTCTCGATTGCCATCCCTGGACCTCTCTGAGGCCCCCATTCTAGCCCCCTGGAGACCCACATTAAAAATGCTTCAGAGCAGGAAGGCTGGTTGATGGATTAATCAATCAACCAACAAGTATTTACTGAGAGCACCTAATTTTTACTCAGCAAATGCTGACTGGAGCGGATGGTGCAGTGACAGGTAATGGAGGACTTTTCAAAGTCAGACAGAGGACGTGAAAATGATACTCAGCTCGCCACGTACTCATTCGACAGTTAGCCGTTGAATACCCACGCATGAACCGTGCAGTATTCTGGGAGATGGAGGCAAGGAATGCAGATTAAACTTTCATCCCATGGACTTTATAGTCTATCAGAGTCGTGATTTTTTTGGAGTACTGAAAATAAAGATAATGTGTGTTATAATTGGAAAACAGGCTGCTTACAGGCTTATGATGGTCAAGGAAGTGAGCAAATTTAAACTTCAGACTTTTGAGACCTGGAAGGGTATAACCAGGCAGTGGTTTGGGAATCCGTTTTGGGTGGTGGTTGATGAGAGGGATGGAAGCATGTACTGGGTTGGGCAGTGTCTCCTCTCCCCAATTCATGTCTACCCAGAACCTCAGGATGTGACCGTATTTGGAAATAGGGTCCTTGTAGATGTAACTAGTTAAGATGAGGTCATACTGGGTTAGGGGGTCCCTAAACAAATACTCACAAATGACTGGTGCCCTCCGAAGTAGACCTTGTGAAGATATAGACACACACAGGGAAGATGGGCATGTGAAGACAGAAGCAGAGACCAGAGTGACACAGCTAAAAGCCAAGGGACATCAAGGGTTGCCGGCTGTCATCAGAAGCTGGGGCAGAGGTAGGGAACAGTTCTTCTCTGAAGCCCTCAAAGGTAGCACGGCTCTGCTGACTCATTGATTTCAGACTTCCAGCATCCAGAGCCACGAGAAAATAAATTGCTGATGTCTTGAATCACCCGTTTGTGGTAGTTTGTTATGGGAGATGTAGGAAACCAGTGCGGATACTGAACTGGAGTCACGGAGATCACCAGGCTATATGATGGACAAGTCCTGACTCAGGGGGTTGGAGGGGCCTGGTGAGAAAGAATAAGTGTAATTTTGTGTGGTTGCATGCAAGATGATGATTGAAGACCCTAGTCGAAGAAACAGTATCTTCTCAAGCTCGTTTCACGATCAGTAGGCAACCCACAGGAGCATGAACTGGAAACTACTGAGCTTCTGAAGGCTCAGCTCCATTCCTGGGACAGAATAAGAGAGGAAGCAAGTAGAGAGTGAAGGAATCGCTGAACACCTTC